GATGCAACTACTTTGGTGAAACATGAAATTTTTTTTTTGATAAAAAAAAACATTTTCTTGTTCCTTCGCATTTTCTTGCTTCTCCATGAAGCTGTCTTAGAATTTTGGTTCTACGAGTCTCTTCTCAGGTTAATTATTAATTTTTATTTTTTACTTGGATTTGTTCACTGAACATTTTTAAATGAGACCATAGATTTGTCTTCTGGGTTTTTCATAGGAGTAATTAAAATCCTCTGGTTTATTTCTCCATCGTAGATTGTCTCAGACTACGAAAAGGTGAAGCCTTTGCTACTATCTAAAATTACAATTTTTCTTCCTGTCTCGCTATGGATTATCGAGTTATGAATTAAGGTTCTGGGTAATTAGGTTTCGTGATAAAGTTTGCTGCTTTACACATCTTCTGCTACCTTTTTTTAATTGGGACTGCTCAGATCCCTTTTCTCTTTATCTAAAAAAAGCAACTTTTAGCATTTATCTCTCCTTTTTTTATGGTATGGGGTTTAAGAGTAGTGAATCTCATCTTGCTTCAGAGTGAAACAAATTATGTTTTTTTTCTTTTTCTTTCTCTTTGATTGCTATTTGATTGCACTCTCTGCCTTTACTCTTTCAAGAGCTTTATGATTTCCTCATGTTCATTTAGTGCTCAAAGTTTGTTCTTGATGGTGGTGTAGAAAGTTCTTTTGATTTGACAATAAGTTCATCATATTTGGTTCTTCTTTTAGTTTGTTTTTAGGAGGATTTAGAAGATGTCTCAAAGGAGAGGAGGACCTGATCCGCCTCCGCCACAGAGGCGGATTCTGCGGACTCAAACTGCTGGTAATCTTGGAGAGGCTATGCTGGATAGTGAAGTGGTTCCATCGTCTCTTGTGGAGATTGCTCCGATCCTTCGTGTAGCCAATGAAGTAGAAGCTAGTAACCCGCGTGTTGCTTACTTATGTAAGTTGAAAAAGTATAATAATTGTCTGGTGATGTGATTTTCTTGCTCATGTTAAACAAACTTGACAAGAATCGGGGATGGTTCTGTCAGGTCGGTTTTATGCGTTTGAGAAGGCACACAGGCTTGATCCCACATCAAGTGGACGTGGTGTTCGGCAGTTTAAGACTGCACTTCTTCAACGGTTAGAACGGGTGAATATCATCACTTCATTTACTCTGCTTAAGTTTCATTTTTCGGGCAGTTTTCTTGTCCATAAAATCCTTGCCGGGGGATTATGTGTGATTTTGTCTTATTTCTTAAAATTCTGCAGGAGAATG